ATCCACTCAGGAACGCCAAGCAAGATCTTTATCTACCTACCCCACGCTCAGAGTTGGAATGAGTCGGAGGGGGGTTAATCACTTCGACCTTACAGATCCATTGTGTCCCCCTTTCTTGAATCATAACTCATCATACAGTCCCAGGGCTTTGACAAAAGCCAGTATCTGGGACGGTTTTATAGAGGGTAGTTCTCCATCTCCAATATCAGTCGTACCAAAATTCATGGCACGAATGGTTGTCGTCTCGGCGCACTCAGTGATGAGGTGTACTGGTGTTTCACCATCTTCCCCACAGAATCTGCATTCGCCGTTTCTTCTTAGTTTCAATCTACTGAGGTGTTCATTGAGGAGACAGTGTCCTGTTAAAACCCCGTGACAATCCGAAGATTGTTCTTACTCAGACCTAGGAAGATCTGTGATTTTTATTGATCATAAGCCCTCAGAAACTTCTTCGAGTGTCCTAGACCATTGCAAGATTTCCATTCCAGGTTGCGGATGGAATCTTCCAAGTTCTTGAGTTCCTCCTTGAGTTGGTTACCACTTGGAAAGCAGAACGGTTCTGGTCCAGTTAGTGGAGTGTTCGCTCCTTTTCTACCTAGATTATTTGCTTTTTCATTGCCTTTTATCCCTTGGTGAGCAGGCACCCAGTGTAGGAGGACTTTGTTTTCTTTGCCTAATTTATTCAGCTTCTCTATGTATTCTTTGACCAATTTCGAATTGATTGAGACTGAGTTGATCGCCTTTAACGCTGCTTGACTATCAGATAAGATGGCTATTTCTTGTTTCCGATAGTTCCTATCTAAGATAAGTTGTACGCATCTCTCGATAGCGTAGATTTCTGCCTGTAGGATACTAGGGTAAGTGCCCATTGGTTCGGAGTAATTAGCTCTCGGCCCAAACACTCCGATCCCTGTTCCCGTATTGGTTTTGGAAGCATCAGTATACCAAGTTATGGTATGGTCTTTTAACTGCTGGGCAAGCGTTTCGCTCTTCCAATCCTTTTTATTGCTCAATACTACATTGAGATGTTTCTCAAAGTTGTACGTTCTTAGCATATCGTCCACTGGGAGTTGCAGGAGTGGTATTTCCTTTATGAGGGTGTTCCAAGCCCCTGATCTGACAATTCTCCCAGTACTAATTCCGTTAGTGACCATTCTAATCAATGTCGCATTGGCATATCTACCAATGACAATGTGCAGTGGTGTTAGATCTAGAATGACCTCCATTGCTGCTGTTGGACAGGTTCTCATGGCTCCTGTGATGCAAACGCATGTTAGTCTCTGGACTTTGCATAGGTTTAGCCTTGCCGTCCGTTGCTCTAGTTTTGTGTACCAGGCAACTGCTCCATAAGTAATCATGGGTCTTACTATCATGGTATACATCCAGCGCAAAATGTTAGGGAAGCAGCCCCATCTATTTCCGGCCAGTCTTCTGCATATCATGAGAGCCTTTATGGCTTTGCTGGTAGTGTTCTTAATATGCCTGTTCCACAGGAGTTTACTGTCCAGGGTTATTCCCAGGTATTTAACTTCCTGTGTTGGCAGTATTTCCTTTCCATCTAGTTGGATTCTTTTCAAGGTTTTCAGACTTCGCCTTCTGGTGAATGGCACTATCGCGGTTTTTTCTGAGTTGATACTCAGCCCGACAGTCCTACACCATCTCTCAGTGATACGGAGTCCTCTTTGGATAATATCACACAAGGTGCCTGCATGTTTCCCCCGAGCGATCATGACTATGTCATCTGCATACCCAATGCAGTGTATTCCCGCTAGAGTTAATTCATCTAGTAGTTCATCCACCACCAAGCTCCACAGCAAAGGGGAGGTTACTCCACCTTGTGGAGTTCCTTGCGTTGTTTTAACAGCTACAGTTTTGGTGCCCATCTGAGCCTCTGCTGTTCGTGTTGACAGCATTTCCCAAAACCAGCGAATAATAGTTCTGTTCACCCCTCTTGTTTCTAGAGATCGCCTGACCACCTTATGTGGTATATTGTCAAACGCCCCCGCAATATCCAAGAAGGCACAAATTGCTGTTTCTTTGCTATCCAGACTTGTCTGTATTAGCTCCGTTAATTGGTACAGAGCAGTTTCTGTGGATCTGCCCGTTCTATATGCATGCTGACTATCATGCAGTGGTTTAACCTTTAGATGATTTTCTCCAATATGGTTGTCAACTACTTTCTCCAGCGTTTTTAGTATGAACGATGTGAGACAAATAGGCCTAAATGACTTGGGATTTGTCCAGTCAGTTTTGCCTATTTTGGGTATGAAGATTACTTTTGCTCTTCTCCATGTGGTTGGTATATATCCCTCGCTAGACTGCTTCTTGTAATGCTTAGTAGATGGTGAGTAGCTATTTGCTGACCCTCCTTTAGAAGGGCAGGAAAGATCCCATCCACTCCTGCTGCTTTATAGGGCTGAAAGGTGTCGATCGCCCATTTCAGCTTTTGTTCTGTTATTACTAGCTTGGCCACTTCCCAATCTTCCCTGCAAGGATTGTGGGGTTCAGTGGGAGCTACATAAGTATCAATAGGTATGCTACCTGGAAAGTGTGTATAAAGTAGGAGATTTGCTCTCTCTTCCTCTCCCTCCGTGTAGCTTCCGTCAGATTTCTTAAGTGCCATGTTGGGGATAGATCCACTCTTGGCCATAGCTTTGTGTAATCTAGCTGCATCAGGAGTAGAAGTGATGTTTTCGCAAAAGGATCTAAAGTCAGACCGCTTTGCCCTTCTTATCTCCTTCTTATACTCAGTTAATTTCTCGCGAATGGCAGCTCTACAGCGAGAAATTAACTGAGTATAAGAAGGAGATAAGAAGGGCAAAGCGGTCTGACTTTAGATCCTTTTGCCAAAACAGAGTTAGTTAAAAGTTCAATATTATACAACTCGAAAAAAATGCACAATCACCTGCCATTTGAAATCAAATCCATAACATCATTTTTTTCATTTCGCAAAACATTGAACTCTTATTTACTAGACAAGGCTTTCTACGCCGTAAATGAATTATATTTTGAAAATCGAATTTGATCTTGTAAACACTGGTCTAATGTTTGCTATTGCTATATTTACTAATGAATCGAAATAAATTTATTTAGAGGTCATTGATATTTTACTCTAAACTAACTAAATATTTTTGAATATTATTTTTATTTTTTTGTTCTTTGACATTGTAAACATTTATAAATGTTTATTTTAACAATAAGACTGACAATATTATTTGTATAATGTTTTGTATTATCTTTTGTTTGTGTACCTTGTTTTTTTTACTTTGTTTGTTAGTTTACCTTTGTCTACAAATTGAAAAATTTTTTGACAATAAAGGCATTTATTTATTTATTTATAAGATACAGAGTGTCCCAAATAAGTAAAAAATATTATAGTTGTATTTTTTAAATGGAACACCCTGTATATTATTCTATTTTTAAATTCTATGATTGAAATAAAGGTAAATTTGATTAAGATTTATCATACTTAAATCTTACCGTTTTTGAAGTATCTGCAGTTTTATGAAATTGCAGTAAAAATTTTAAGGCTTCATTTCTTCAAGGGTATCAAAGTTTTCTAATACTACTATTTACTGAAGTTTATTTATTGATCAGATATTATGTTGCTTGCTAACTTGTTTAATTGAAATGGAACAACCTGTATATTTTACGAGAATCAGATTCACAATTTAATTGTCTATTAAATTGTATTATACCATCTTTTACTATCACTTCAAGTTTTCGTAGAAAATGCATTTTCTTATAATTTAGACCTCATTTATCACTATACTGACTATACCCTTGGAATATTGACATTTTAGATTATTTTTAAAGATGTAACAAATTTTCAGAGTACCAGATGCCGACATATTTCGCTTATTTCATTAAAAAATAAAAAAAAAACTGATTAAATATTTTTTGTTAAAAAGGACCAATTAATAAGATCTCAGTATTCAAACTACATTAATTAACTGTTTACGTTGATTAATGATAATTGCTCCAAATACTAAAAAACTGAATTTTGTATGTGTATTAGACAGTTTGGTAAAAAGTAACACGCCTTTATAAATTTTTATTTATTTTTTGACGAATGGTTATTTACCTATAACAACAGTGACGTTCATTTTCTAAGCTCATTATTATATTGATTTCTGAGTCAAATCCACATTTATTTTGAATAATTTATTAATTAAAACAATTAAGTATGTATTAACTAGTTTTTGGGCGGAAATAATTGTAGTATATTTGATTGGTATACTCTTTGACAAATATTTCAATAGTTTTCTTTTTTGTAAACAAATGGACTTGCAATATTATTATTTTTACAACCTGTACATTTTGTACATATTATGTTGCTTTAAAAAAATCTAAAATGTCAATATTCCATGGCTATAGTGATATTCCATGGCTATAGTGTATAATTTTTATGATTGCAATACGATATCTGATCAAAATATAATCATCAGTAAATATTTAGTATTAAAAACTTGGATACCCTTGGAGAAATGAAGCCTTAAAATTTTTACTGCAATTTCACAAAATTGAAAATATTTCAAAAACGGTAAGGTATAACTTTAGTGTAATAAACCTTATTCAAATTTACCGTTATTTCAATCGTAAAATCTAAAAATAGAATAAAATACAGGGTGCTCCATTTAAAAAATACAACTATAATATTTTTTACTTATTTGGGACACTCTGTATTTTGTAAAATTATTTTTAATTGCAGCTCTAATAGTCCTTCAACGAACCCAAAACTTACAATTTGTAAAAATCTAATCGTTTAGCTACAATACTCCGTGTCGTATGTGGTGAACAACCCTGTATACTGACGCATAAAATTTATTTTAATATTTTCTCATTTTTTTTGCATTTATTTTAATCTTCGCCCATAAAACACTACATAATACTGTTTGTCGTTAAACCATATCAGTGGACCTAAATTAACACTTAAAATTACAATAAAAACGTCAACGCCGATTTTCTTTATATGACCAGGCCTACCTTGTTTTTTATTTTATTGTGTATATTTAGGCTACCTACAAATGAATATTAGTAACGAAAACAATTCAAATCATCAGTCGATAGCGTTATTCACAGCCACGAACACTACCTACCTACTTTGTATTTTATAGTAATTATTACTCAATTAATTTCAGTCTAATATCAAAATGGTAAGTTAAAATATCATGAATTGGCGTTCCTTTGTTCAATTTAATAGTAAAATTATCATTATTTCGTTATTTTTTTAATACAGGGTGGTCCGAACTATAACGTGAGTTTATTTTCCCAATAATATTTCTTTTAACATAGGTTTTAAAACGACACATATTAAGAGTTTGTGCCTGCTAAGTATTTCTGCGTCTCAAGCATGTCACGCCATATCTGATTTTATGGGCGTCCTGCGCTCCGATTTAGGGGTAAAAGTATTCCTAGAAAAGCGTTCAAAATCGAACGATGATTGGTCGAAACAATTCTGTTTCGAAAAAGAAAGTTTGGGAATATTACCTAATGAAAAAATACACATATTCCGACGCACAGTACAGTTTTGAGTGCGGTGGCGTGAATAGTGTGTCAGTTAAAGTAAAGTTAATTAGTTAGTTAGTGCAGTGATATAAGCAGAAAGCAGGGGAGTACATCTCACTAAGTGTCGTAGTTTATTAATTAATTAGATCATGAATATTTTGATAAATATATTGATACGTTTTGTTAGATATCATTTGCGTACACATATTATTAAATATTACATTAAATAACTGCGCCGTATACATGCTAGGTCAAAATATAGAATATGAAAGTTAGATAGGGTTAGTAATTAAATAATGCGGCGGTATACCGATGCGGCAGCTACGTGAGCTTTGTTTAGATAGGCTATTGAATCTCTTTACTCTGTAGAGTCGGTGCTGTCTAGTCAGGAGGAGCGCAAGGATAGGCCCGTTAATGTTGCTTGGCAGGATCTGGGATCCCGTAATGTCATAGTAGCAGGGACGCGATTCCTCGTAATGTCGCAACGGTGTAGGGAGTAAAATCCTGGTTATCACCGGTTTTTATATTGTGCCTCTGGGCGTAACCAGATGCGGGAGCGGGACCCCGAGAGATTCAGCCGCTGTATCCGGGTCTTCTGGTTCGTCTAGACCGTGCCACGGGGGGGCGTGGACGGGGGCAAGACAGTACGTTAGTATTTGATGAGATAAGTAAATTTGTAATCAAGAGAGAGAGAGAGATTGGATAGTTCTTTTATAAAGTACCTAATTAGTTAATATGATAGCCACGTAAGCTTTAGGTGGATTAGTGAATTTCTGTTCTCAGTAGAGTTAGTACTGCTTAGCTTGAGGAAGCGCAAGGATAGGCCCGTTAATGTTGCTTGGCAGGATCTGGGATCCCGTAATGTCATAGTAGCAGGGACGCGAATCCTCGTAATGTCGCAACGTCGCACACGGCAGGGATCTGGGATTCCGTACGCCGTGTGACAACGGACATTATTATTATGTCTGGGACGGTACCTCCGGGTCTTCAGCGGCGGGAACAGGCCCCCAGGGTCCTCGAATCTCGGGATCGATATGTTGTGTTTATTCTGTTGCCCGTGCGGCTGATTACTCTGGAGTCCGCGCCATCAGGGGGTGCGTGGGCGGAAGGCCAAGCAGTGCATTTGCATAGATATGTTTGTAAATCTTGTATTGAGAGAGACAGAGATAAATTAGTCCATCTAGTAAGATAAATAGGAAATAAATAATAGGTAGTTAGGGCAAAACAATATCGGCACATAGCAGTTAAGTAGGTCGGAATTATAAACTGGACACTTATCCTTACTTTTAATTGTGACAGGTATTAAAGTACGCCTCCGCTCAGGGTCAATGCTTCAGGGATTATTTGGTGAGTCTGTGATTTATTATATATTTGTTTTCCTGACAATATAATACTTTAAAACATTTTAATTATCCTGTCACGAGTTATGGTTTTGTTAGTTGTTTAGATTGTTTATTATTTTATAAAGAAAGTAAACAAAAAAAAATCTTACAGAACTGTATTCCGGAAACTTCGGCAGGATATTTTGCAGATAAAAAAAAGGTAAAAGGTCGTGTAAATGTATGTCCTAAAATGCTTAGTTTCGGGATACAGGGTGTAGAAGTTTGATTTTTATTTCGATTTTTTCCAAATAATTTCTGAAGTACCTAACGTCAATATTTAGATGAAAATTTGTGTCTGGGAGTTCTTTGACATGAGAAATTTTATTTTGATGTCAATATAACCCCTATGTGTAGGCGGCGCCACCTAAATGTATTTTAACTGTTTTAAAGATTAATAACTTTTCGTCCGTCCCTGTATAAAACTACTGAGTGAAAAAATATACATTTACGACATTTTCTACGTAAAAAGGTCCCTTGGTAAAAATCACTATGTTAATAGACTGAAAATGTCAGTCTAATAACTATTTATTATTTAATAACAAATTTGAAATGTTTTTGTACCCAAAAGTTGAACAGAAACTGTTTTATCATAATTTTTAAGATTAATTTAAAAAGTGAAAATTTCCCAAATCTATTATTTCAGTCAAATAACTATTTATCTGCTCAACGTGTTTATTTTTTGTCAATAATGACATGTATTGACTATTTCCATTCTAAATATCTTGAGTACGGGTGAAAAAGTCACGGAAATGTATATTTTTTCACTCAGTAGTTTTATACAGATATGGATGAAAAGTTATTAATCTTTAAAACAGTTAAAATACATGCCCCCTATAAATAAGAGTCATATTGTCATGAAAATCAAATTTCTCATGTCAAAAAACTCCCAGACACCAATTTTTATCCTAATATTGACGTTACTTCAGAAATTATTTGGCAAAAATCGAAATAAAAATGAAACTTCTACACCCTGTATCTCAGAAACTAAGCATTTTAGGACATACATTTATACGAACTTTTTTACTTATTTTTATCTGCAGAATATGGCCGCCGAAGTTTCCGGAATACAGTTCGAACCGCCCTGTATACAACGGTGTCCAAATATCCGTGGACATAGAACTACTACGTATTTTTAGAATGAAAATAAGTTTACTAGACATATAAAATTTTCGTTTGTCCATTAAAAGTTAATTTATTATTTATTTATTTAAGTTAATTAATTATTTTAAGAACTGATATTCTGATTTGAATAGGATTTGGAGTGCCTATGTTTTGATAGACGCTTTAACTTAAACTTTTTTCACTTATGGCATTTTTTTTTGGTTTTTTGGTTTTTTCACTATGGCCAATATCGCAAATGTTTACCGGCGAGCATCGGTATCTCTACCGTGCCCTTGTTAACCCCACGGTAGAGATACCGATAGTTGTCGGTACAAATTTGCTATATGTTCTATTAATGACAGCTAAAACTATGACAACGACAATTAACACGACGCTCATTGGCCGTACGTACCGACAGCTGTCGGTAACTTACCGATACCGACGATTGTACAGGGGCGCTATTCTGTACACAGCATCGACAATCGTCGGTATCGGTAAGTTACGACAGCTCTCGATACGTATTAGGTTAACTACATGTAATGTAGTTTATGTAGTTTTTAAAAGTAACATGTAGTTTTCCGAACCCTGCCTAAGACACTAAAACCATTAGACGATCACATCTATTTTTCCAAGGCTCCTTGATTAAGAATTGGTGTTTTTAACATAACTATGGCATTCTAGACTGAAGTTTAAAATACGATTTTTTATTAAGCGAGAATGTCAAAAGTTGACATATGACATTCTGAATATTCTGAATAGAATGACATAATATGTCGTTTTCTATCGAATAAAGTAAAAAAATAACGAGGGTGCCATTTAAAAATCAAAAGTTGTAGTTATTTTCGGTGAAACAGGAAGTGACCAAAAACAACTGAATACGTCAATCAATCCTAATTTATGTCCTATACTAACATACCAAATTTGTTTTTTTTTATCTGAAAAAATAAAAAAGTTATGAGGGTGAGCCAGTTTTGAGACAAACCCGGGGTGCAACTTTGTTCAAGTTAGCAACCGATCGTTTAGAAGCGATTTCGAAGCCAGATTGGTACTATGTTCATTGCAAAACTATTGTCGCTCAAATGCTGCGAACTATGGTATCACTATCACACTCTTGCACACGTGTGCGACACGGTCTAGACTCTCGCCTCGCCACAAAGCGAGAAATCAGAATATCGCTACGAATCGATGTTGCTACTGAACATAGTGCCTCAAGCTACAAAATTACTTAGCTATCGCTTTGAAACATGAACAAAGTTGCACCCCCGGTATACATGCAAGCCCTTTCGTTGCACTAGTCATATTCTAAGTTCATTTTTTTTTCTAGAAAGTGGTATTTATAATAACTACAATAATAGCATCAACTGTTGCTATGCGGCCATTTTACGCAGGATCCGGGGGTGAAAAAGGGTTTGTGCCCAGTCAATTCCGAGACACTAGTGACAAACAGAACCTTCCCACACCTACTCAACACTTTAGGTCCAACAGTAATGGACAAAGAGTTACTAGTGGAGCCGATCTTCAAAGCGGAGATCAAAGAAACCAAGAGCAGCGTAGATTTGGAGAACCTGTCGGTACTGAAACTAGGACAATTAGACCACCTTTGACTAAGGGATCTTATGCAGGATCTGTCACTAGAACTAAATTTCATATGTGACTGTTATATTTATTTTTCCGTTATCAATTAGACTTTAAATTTCTGTATTAAAATTATCCTGTTGTCTTGTTGTAACGCTTTTTCTTTGTTTTTATGAGAATAGCGTTATTGACGCCCGGTGTTATGATTTCTGATTCTGTGTCGAGCACCACCTCTATTATTTTGAATGGTTAGAGGCCCACTGTTGCAAGTACGGGTGTATAAAAAGGTGAAAGTTCAATAAAACAATCAGTTTCAATTAAAATATACAGGATGTGTCTTAAATAAGTGCAAATATTTTCAGGGGTGGTATATTTCGACCCCAGGAACACGTGTATGAGGATTTTTTCGCAAAAAAAATGTTGAAAATCGTGCATTTTCTTTTAAATTTCCCTGTATATTTTTCGAAAACATTTTAAAACTGCCTGTTCACCGCAAATTTTCCTACGGTATAATCTTAGGGCACAAACATAGTGAGGCATCTCGATGCGATGCTCGCCAAGATGCTGGCCGCGCTACTCGCCAGGATGCTAGCCGCGATGAATCCTACGCGCACTGTTTTAAAACGGCGAATAGGTGCGCGTAGGATGCATCGCGACTACAAACATAGTGCGGGGCAATTCTTCCCGACGCGATGCGCGCCATTCACCTCGTCCTTCCGGCGATGCTGAATCAAACATGTACAAACTTGCGTCAAAACATACTGGAGCCTCGCACCTCGCCACGCACCTATATGTTCAGCGCGATGCTTCCTAGGAAACAAAATTTTTGTTTTTTGCGAGAAGCGGACGCGGATGCTTGAAACTTAAGAAACTTTACATTTGATTGGTCTGTTTAGGATCACAATTCGTGGAGCATATGTCGAACTAGAGTCGGGTGGAATAAAATGTTCACAATACTAGTATTTAATTTATCACCAACAATGTAATCACCTTGATTCTACAGGGTCCGGCAATAGTGTGTCAGGCATCTGCAGCTCCTATAATAAAAAAACTTATGAATTTTGTAGCCCAGACAGAAAGTATGTATTAGGATGTATTTGAGGAAAATATTTGAACTTCTAAAGAGTGGCTCAAAAAAGTGTGAGTGGATCGCGAATATTTTTTTTAAATGGAACACCTATATACAGAGTGGCGCAACTCATTCGCCTCGGTTGATTATACGAAAACGGAAATATCTAGAAACAAAATATTTTATGGGCATATGTGGGAAGACCATGTGCATAATTTAAAATTATTTTGAAATGTACAGGGTATGTCAGAACTAAGATTTACACCAAAGTGTTATATTTTTTCTTATGGAATACCCGGTATTTTATTTTGATATTTGGATCCTAGGACACAAAATAAAGCCTTTGTTATAAGGGTTATTATATATTAATATGTTTACAAGCTTTGGTTTTTGAGATATTTAAAGATATTTAAATATGCATGCTACAATGGAATAGATTATCAACACCCTGTGCATTTTACTTCTTAGAATTAATTATTGTGCTGAGTTTAAAGATAGAGAAATAAACTTTACTGAAAAATTGTATTGCTCCCTTAAATTTATACATGGGTACCAAAAATTGATGATTTATTTTAAATATTTATTTTACATAAAAACCTTGTTATTTCAAATACGACAACCTGTATTTTTTAAAATAAATCGAAGCAGATTCAAATGCTCTTTTAAACTATTATTAGGGTATCCTATACCTATCTAGCTCAGATTTTGAATAAAGAGCAATTTTTCAATAAAATGGCAACAAAGAGGGCTGATGTCGTCATGGCCAAATGGCCACAAAACATCCCCCTTTAGAACTTTTTCTTTAATGGCCATAAGTGGGAGTAAAAGATCAACTGCCCGAACAAATACTAGAGGCACCACCGGTCATCAAATGGTGTAAAAATTGCGAAAATTTAATCATCTAATTTTGGCACAAGGGGTCGCGCTTAACTTTTTTAATTTTATTTCAATATTCATTGTTTTCAAACTATATTATTAGACTTTGTTGTATTTCGTGAATGTATAAATGTTTTCTTAATATAAACTTGCATTATATTAATATAAATTATATTACATACATATTTAAAATTCAAATATTATGACCATGACATATATGTCAGTTGCCGTCTAAAATGTCATCTTGATAACAAAAAGTTAGTTATTGTCAGAAATAGTTAAAATCGTCTTAAAATATTAAAATTTACAAGTTATAATTAGATATTTTCATAATGGTACAGCGTAATGTTGATATGCAGGTCCAAAACAAAAAGTGCCGTTCTATTTTTCAGTTTTCTTTGTCACCCCCGAAAGTTTCAGTGATTTTAGTGTTGTCGGATATTTTTATTTGTGAAATAGAAATATTGCGTTTGGATTGCAAAACTAACAGTGGAAGTTTGGTAAAGGTGTGGATCCGGTGGCTGACCTTGAAGCCCATATTTGCTGTATTTAATCATCGATACTACGCAAGCGCACATCGTCGATGTTGCCAAATTGCAGTTTATTTTCGAATTATTTGCAGTTGAAATTTTTTTTTCAGTGTTAATCAATAATAATACAAATTCTATAATTAATTTTATAATTTTAAATTTATCTTGATATCCAAAATTAAGGTAAGAAGGATAATGAAGATTGTGAAATGAAAGTACGACTCGTATTACGAATATATACTACTCGTATTATGAATATATAAAATTGTAATAATAATAACATTTATTTATATATTTACATTAGAATTAAAAATTATATCATTTACGGATTTTTTCTTAATGGTTTTAAACTTATTAGAATTATTTTATTTCTTTCAAGTTATTTAATTTCTAGTTATTTACAAGCAACAATAGTTTTAATTATATGTATTGATGTTTTGAAATACTACCGCATGACGAGTCTTATAGAACAATACACGTCAATGGGAGATAGAGGTAACATTCTACCTATAATGTTACTAATATAATATACTTTGATTATAATGTTTGTATCATAATTTCTTAAAAATATCAAATTAGTGGCCTAATAGCAATTTTATGCCCACTTGCACCGTTTGTATAAACTTTGTTTAAAGGCTAAACATTGATTAACTATAATAAAATATTATATAGTTAATCACTGTTTAGCCTTTAAACAAAGTTTATACAAACGGTGCAAGTGGGCATTAGACATATATTTCATTGAAGAGTGTGTTGATAAGACTAAAATAAGCTTTATGTTTTATCTTTTTCTCTTTAGAAGGGAGATGGTTTGTATCGTAGAATACATTACAGTATTTAATATCGTGTACTTTGATGTTCTTTTCTTAATTTACTGTAATTTCTTAATTGTTTCCTATAATGCCAAATCTTGACAATGCATTGCAAATGCATGACATGCAAAAAAAACATTAAAATACTTAAAAAAAAATTAGAAAGTGTAATAAAGATACAAAATTATTATATGAACTTCGATACGACACGGATACGAGTTGCGTTCGAGAGTTGTTCCTCCTGGGAAAGAGATCGGTTTAAATACTCTTAAAGTTGCTGAGTCTTCGCTTCCCATCACATCATGGAACTGCGACAAGAAACATAATATGATTCTTTATGAGTTATATTAGAACGAACTTATACGTTTAACTTTGTAATAAACAATGAATAACAATAAATAAGTATAAAGAGTAAATAAGGTCATTTGAAGGTTAAATATGGATATAATAACTCCCCCTTTTAGATAAAAGTTAACGCGTGGAGATAACTTTTAGACTGAATTCTTGTTAGATTAGGATTAAGTTCAAAAGATTCTTCTTCAATAGGTTCTTCTAAATGGATACTGGGTCTTCGACGAGGCAGTATTTTCTTCCATTTGGAGAGAGTGGATTCAACTTGATTTCTTGGAGGTGATGGTGGGTCATCATGAGAAATTGCAATTCCAATTCGTGATCTTCTACGGGATTTGCATTTGCAGATGTAAATCAGGACCAAGGTGACAATTACAATTATGGTTAAAATTGTAAACCAACCATGGTGTTTCTTCACAAAAGGTTCATTGATTAATTAATTAACTTGTGATTTGCAACACTTAAATCTTCTAGATTCAGCTTGCTCAATTTCAGTGGTTTCTGATTTGGAATCTTGATCTTCTCAGGAATATTACTGCAACAACTATCTGATATTTGAATTGGAAAAGTATTGTATGTTATTTTATCATAAACAATAATGTCTTTTTGACCTTGAATTCTTGTACTGCCAGCAAAAACAATACATTCACTTTGTAACTTTAAAAGAGTATTATTATTTAAGATTTTTGTAATAATGTCTCTATTTCCACGTTTAATTGTTAATGGTAAAGGATCTGAGATAATTATTAACCAAAAGTTTAAACTTAATTTGTTTGTGTTGTATTCTTTTGCCATGATCAAAGAAGATTGACAGGTTCTTGGCAGGTGATCTTGTTGCTTCAATAGTTGAGCTTCACATATAGCATCACTATCGATTGGATATGGACAATATGTTGGAACATTGGAATTCTTGTTTTTCTACCTGTTGGTTTGCAAGCTTCTGGATCTTCAATTATTATGTACAACAATGAATCATCGCTACGCGCAATATATTTATAAGTTGTACTTAAGATATGTTGTAAAGCAGTACGATGATCTAACAAAGGAATTGGATAAATTCGATATAAAGTATACTCTTCAGGTTCAACTAAAGGTATATTTAGGACAAATACTACTTTAGAATCTAATTGATAAGCTTTCAATTCGATAATATCTAGATACTGGGATATTGATGTGGCAGAAATTGGTAATGGAAGATTATTTCTCTTTAATGATTGAGATATATGCTTTAGCGAGTCAACCAAGTCATTTGGAGTAATTATAGAACTATGCAATATTTTTAATCTTGCAAAAGTTATTGAATTTATAATATCATCAATCTGACTTTCTAAAAAGGTTTGGTTTTCCATAAGAGATTCACAAATATTTAAAATATCAATTTGTGATTGGAAATAATTTAATTGATCTGAAATATCCATTATTGATTTTCTTATTTCTTTTATATCATTATTAAAAGTCTCTTCATCGATTTGTAATTTTTGAATTGTAGAATTAAAACTTTTAATTACAGATGTCGTTACA